CGGGGCGACTGGAGGCACTGGGGACACAGGGGTCACTGGAGACACAGGGGTCACTGGAGACACAGGGGTCACTGGAGGCACAGAGGTCACTGGGGACACTGGAGACACAGAGGACACTGGAGACACAGGTGTCACTGGAGACACAGGTGTCACTGGAGACACGGGTCACTGGAGACACAGGGGTCACTGGAGACACAGAGCTTGACGTCCTGGTATTCACCACAACACATTCCTGTAAATGGCGCTAAAGTCATTTCCTTTTGAAGTGACAACAAACTCCGGAGAGAAATCCTAAAACTCCCTCCCCCAGTCCCCGAACTCCGAGCAACAATTACAGGACGTATGAAGACAGAGCACCCGCGCCGAGTCCTGAACACTCTCCGGTTATGAATGGAGCCTGAGTGTCAGGCTGCTGGTGGATCTTGCCCCAGCACGTGGCGATCAGCAGTGACTGGCCAACAAGAGGTTAAATGTCTCTCTACATGGGGGGAGGGGCAGTGCTCGCTTGTGACACCACTTCCTGTTTCGCAGCTGCTTTTCTATGCCGACATCTCCGCTGTGGCTGACTGACAACAAGGGGTTAATCCTCAGCAGTTGGTGATCAGAGGTCAGACACCATTGTGTGACACAAGAGGAGTGAGACTCTCCCACCATCTGAGTGGACTCTGAGTGGAGCTCAGTGGGCGGAGACACTCAGCTGGTGAAGAGAGGGGGGTCAGTGCCTGTATCCCGCTGTGCCCATTATGAGGGGCTCCCCCCATCCCTGTGCTGAGTTCCCGGGTCTGTACACCCGCTGTGCCCATTATGAGGAGCTCCCACCATCCCTGCTCTCTTGCTCCCTATGGTGGGTGTCATGGGCGGAGCCTCCTCTGGGGGGCGCTGGACTGTACATTGTAGTGATTCATGTTTCATGTTTTTCAGGAATTGGCGGAATTTGAGAAGCTGGCGGATCAGGTGATGAACACAGCGGAAGGTAGGGGGCGCTGTCATCCCGGGGTATACATTGCCGGTGACACACAGTATATAGACATGAACATTCCTTTGTACTTTGCCTGGAGTCATCCTGATCCTTGGAATCCAAACACTCCATGACCCGGCTTCTCTCCTGCAGGACTGCGGCGTGACGGCTTTGAGGAGCCCCACCCCCTATTCCGCTGCCTGGTGGCTGAAGCAGAAGATGAGAAGAAAAGAGAAGAAGGTAACGGAAGGGGCGGAGACACAAACTACTGGGGGGAAATCTCACCATTGTGGGAGGGGCAGAGACACAAACTACTGGGGGAAATCTCACCATTGTTGGAGGGGCAGAGACACAGACTACTGGGGGGGGGCTCAGCACTGGGGTGTATGATTATTATGGTCATTCATTGATAGCGGGGCCGTTGCTTCTTGTACTATAATACAATCCCTGGAAGGTGCAGTACACACGTCAGCCCAGTAGGGGGCGGATTCCTCATAACTGATACAAAGTTTCTTTTCTATAAAAAAATTCCATGAAGATGATGAACAATGAAAGAAAAGGTGACGGGATCTCCCCGCAGAGCTCCTACATCCGTCTACTCATCTGTTCTCTCATTGGTCAGCACAATATACGCCTGATCTGTGAGTGCAGACATTGCTCCGCCCTCTCATTATAATATTTGTTAGGAAGTCTCTAGTAACGGAACCTGACAACAGTTTTCATGTTTATTTCAGTTTTGCATTCACCGGCTTTGGCATGAAATGTAATCTCGGCCCGTTCTCCTCATATTCCAGGCCCCCGGTTGGTGGGTTACGCCCTCTCGCACTACATCTACAGCACATGGAAGGGGCGGTCCCTGTACCTGGAGGATCTCTACGTCATGCCGCAGTACAGAGGTGAAGTATACTGATCACATGATCATCCGCCCTGTAATAAAGACCGCCCACTGCTGCTCTATCGCCTTTTACAGGGTGCCTGGTCTTGTCCCCGCCCCCATTGGGTCACTCTTCTCCCTTGGCCCCCATTGGGTCACTCTTCTCCCTGGGCCCCATTGGGTCACTCTTCTCCCTGGGCCCCATTGGGTCACTTCTCCCTGGGCCCCCATTGGGTCACTCTTCTCCCTGGGCCCCCATTGGGTCACTCTTCTCCCTGGTCCCCCATTGGGTCACTCTTCTCCCTGGGCCCCCATTGGATCACTCTTCTCCCTGGGCCCCCCATTGGGTCACTCTTCTCCCTGGGCCCCCCATTGGGTCACTCTTCTCCCTGGGCCCTCATTGGGTCACTCTTCTCTCTGGCCCCCCATTGGGTCACTCTTCTCTCTGGGCCTCCATTGGGTCACTCTACTCCCTGGGCCCCCATTGGATCACTCTTCTCCCTGGGCCCCCATTGGATCACTCTCCTCCCTGGGCCCCCATTGGGTCACTCTTGTCTTGGGGCCCCTGTGTCCATCCCTGATAGCCATATTGTCATATAAACATGGCGTGTCTCCTCTGTGTACTGACCCCTCTTGTCTGTGGCAGGTAAAGGCATCGGCTCCAAGCTGCTGACGGCTACTGCAGAAGTGAGTATACTCCGTGTACACGTCACGCTTCATACATGTGTGGGGTCATATTGCGTGTGCGGACCGGCAGACCAGGAGAGGGGGAGGTTTACAGCATCCGTCTTATCACTATATAACTACATCCATTGCAGACCTTGTGTCCCCATAGGAGACACATTGCCTGCAATGGATGTAGTTATACCCTTAGAGGAGGGGACCCCATAGGAGACACATGGTCTGCAATGGATGTAGTTATACCCTTAGAGGAGGGGACCCCATAGGAGACACATGGTCTGCAATGGATGTAGTTATACCCTTAGAGGAGGGGACCCCATAGGAGACACAAGGTCTGCAATGGATGTAGTTGTACCCTTAGAGAAGGGGGCCCCATAGGATGTGGTAATGATGGTGACAGGAAGCAGCACATATGTCATTCTTGTCCAGAGTTTTGCTTTAATGGTTCTATTAAGGAGGAGGGGCCCATCTCCCCCCCTTACCCCCTCCGACCAGCCGAGCAGGAAGTTCCTAATTCTGAGGACAGGAGGAGGAGGAAGTGTCTGTGTTTGCAGCGCGTGTCCTGGAGACGAGGACGCAGAAACCATTGTCTGCCTGTCATTATTATTCTACTTCCTGTTCTGGATACTTTGTATCATTTTACAAGGAATGTGCACCTCACAGCAGTGAGTCACGCGGCGGCCACCAGAGGGCGCTGTGTCCGGTTTGACAGATGCGAAATCCGCATCTTTGCTGAACAAGTATACATAATAAGCCACAGTGAGTGTGTCCAGCACCCCAGACCTGGGGGCCAGGCTAACCCGGAGAGGAGGGTGTCAGGGACACGCCCACTTCCAGTGGAGTGCTATGAGCTGAAGATATCGGCGACCATGCACTGAGATAGGAGTCCTCATCCTAGGGCGGGCCTGTGTACAAGGGGGCGTGTTTATATAATAATTGTATATATCCCGGGAAAGCAGAGCAAAGGAACCAATAGGAGTATACACAAAACATAAACCCCTCCCCCCTGTATCAAAATGGTCCGCTGAGGCGGGGTTTCTATTTTTCTGGCCGCCCCCGTGCGGTCGTATAACGGTGTCTCTCCTCTCCGCAGCTCTGCCTGTCTCTGGGTTGCCCCCGCCTGCAGCTTTCCGTCCTGGACTGGAACCAGCCGGCCATCTCCTTCTACCAGTCCTGCGGGGGCCGCAACATGTCCGACGAGGAAGGGTGGCGCATGATCCGCTTCCTCCCCGACGACCTACGGCGGATGATTTCTAAGAGCGCCGAGCGGCCCGGAGACCCCGGACTGGCCTAACGCACTCTAGCTCCACCCCCTTTTTTTTCCTGCAGGGAATTTCCGGGTCTGACATTACAGAGGAAGAAGGAAGAGCGTAATCACTCGCTGCCTTCTTATCAGGAACTTTGCCCGCCTCCACAAGGGGGCGTTACCCCCATCCGAGGCTTCAGCTATGGGTGGAGGACTCCTTTGGGTGCATTTTTTTTTTTGAGCATTCTTAAAGGTTCCGTCCAAGCCTGGAGACCTGGAAGACCAAATTACAGAGCCAGGAGCATGAATGGGTGTTCCCAGCTCCGCCCACTGTACTCTCTCTGCTTTGGCAGATTGAAGGATATCTTGGTATGCTGGTAATGTTGCCAATGCCCCCCCCCCAACTCCCAACTCCCATCATCCTAGATCCCTTAACGCCCCCTCTGCTGGCCGTCACCTGGATGTTACTGAAGAGGCGGGGTTTATATCTGCCGCCCCCTCTGCTGCCCATCCTTGGATGTTTCTGAAGAGGCGGGGTTTATATCTACTGCCCCCTCTGCTGGCCATCCCCTGGATGTTTCTGAAGAGGCGGGGTTTATATCTACTGCCCCCTCTGCTGGCCATCCCCTGGATGTTTCTGAAGAGGCGGGGTTTATATCTACTGCCCCCTCTGCTGGCCATCCCCTGGATGTTTCTGAAGAGGCGGGGTTTATATCTACTGCCCCCTCTGCTGGCCATCCCCTGGATGTTTCTGAAGAGGCGGGGTTTATATCTACTGCCCCCTCTGCTGGCCATCCCCTGGATGTTTCTGAAGAGGCGGGGTTTATATCTACTGCCCCCTCTGCTGGCCATCCCCTGGATGTTTCTGAAGAGGCGGGGTTTATATCTACTGCCCCCTCTGCTGGCCATCCCCTGGATGTTTCTGAAGAGGCGGGGTTTATATCTACTGCCCCCTCTGCTGGCCATCCCCTGGATGTTTCTGAAGAGGCGGGGTTTATATCTACTGCCCCCTCTGCTGGCCATCCCCTGGATGTTTCTGAAGAGGCGGGGTTTATATCTACTGCCCCCTCTGCTGGCCATCCCCTGGATGTTTCTGAAGAGGCGGGGTTTATATCTACTGCCCCCTCTGCTGGCCATCCCCTGGATGTTTCTGAAGAGGCGGGGTTTATATCTACTGCCCCCTCTGCTGGCCATCCCCTGGATGTTTCTGAAGAGGCGGGGTTTATATCTACTGCCCCCTCTGCTGGCCATCCCCTGGATGTTTCTGAAGAGGCGGGGTTTATATCTACTGCCCCCTCTGCTGGCCATCCCCTGGATGTTTCTGAAGAGGCGGGGTTTATATCTACTGCCCCCTCTGCTGGCCATCCCTTGGATGTTTCTGAAGAGGCGGGGTTTATATCTACTGCCCCCTCTGCTGGCCATCCCCTGGATGTTTCTGAAGAGGCGGGGTTTATATCTACTGCCCCCTCTGCTGGCCATCCCCTGGATGTTTCTGAAGAGGCAGGGTTTATATCTACTGCCCCCTCTGCTGGCAGTCCCCTGGATGTTACTGAGGAGGCGGGGTTTATATCTACTGCCCCCTCTGCTGGCCATCCTCTAACTGTTACTGAGTGGGAGGGGTTTACTGTCCCTGACTGACAGCTGCTGCTGCCCCGCCCATGTGCTTTATGAGGGTCACTCCACCTGTAAATGGGCACACAGATCACCTGGGGATGACTTCCAGTTTCAAGGAAGACATTGTTGGGGTGCTCCAA